TAGAATTGCATAATACAATATCGGGCACGGGTTTCGAAAAAAATTGTAGTAAAATATTTTAATAGTAAAAGATTTTCTTGTTTGCAAGTGATTATTTGAAAAAAATTAGTTTACTCTTTGCTGAAACTATAACACTCTTTAATAAAGAACCAGATAAAGAGAGCAAGGGTAAAAGATTTCCAAGTTTAAGAACTAAAAGAATATTTTTTGTCACAGACTACTACAAGAAGGTACATGTCATGGTGCCCTCCACTATGTACTCAAACGTCGTCTACAATTTACGATTCTTATGAGGCTAGAAAATCTAAGCTTTCGGCAGCCTAGAAGTGCCAGTACTCAGCTAGTGACCGGAAAATGAACTTTTTGGATCGGACACATATGCATAAGTTTTCTTCCTCTCCTACTCAATAGATAGAAATTTTTCTTACAAAGTAGCCATGAGAATGAAAATTGCAAGTGCTTAGTGTTTTTGTAAGTGTTGGAGATTATGGTGTGTTGTGCATCTTTTTGCGCAAAAATGTTTCACTCTTTCCTTCTCACTTACCCCCTGCGCCATCTCTCAACCCCGTACGTCAAACGTTGCAAAAAATTGATGAAATCGATAAAGTAGTAGACAACTGTTAAAACTAATTTTTATCGTAATCAACATGATAGCTTACCCACTGTGCCAAGTCCTAGCCTGGCATGTGAAACTTGGCAAAAATCGATATCACGATATCGATCTATATCGGTATCGATGGCCTACGCACCCGCTCCGCCCGAAGTATATGTGTGCCAAGTTTGGTCCGGATCGGTTCAGATTAGAGATTTCCATTCGAAATATAGTACACACAAACATACAGACATTCAGCTTAATTATATACAAATTTTTGAAACTTCTCATAGACTGTTACAGAAATCTGTATAGGTGACTTTCCTACTTGTAGTCAATGTTCCATGAATTAGTAGTGGGTCATTAATTATATGATGATACTAGTTGGCTTTCCCGTTCCAGCCCGGGTCATTGGTTACCTGCACTGCAAGCCCCCCCCCCTCCTTTTATATGTTATGGATAACTTACCCTGGAACATCCGCTTCGAAACCGCATCCTCGTGATCCTGAGGTGAAAATGAGCTTCACCGCCCTTTTTTACACGACCATGGTAAAATGCTTGATTAAACATGATAAGCTCTCAGTTCCTTAGAAAAGCGTAAACAAATCATTAAATCGATGGAAGGACCCAACGAATCGCTACGAAAAGTGGCCTATCATCTGCGCGGGGGTCGAAAACATATGTGTGCAATGTTTCAGCTGAATGGTTGAGCGGTGCGCGTTACTATAACGCACATACCCTCCAGACTGACAATTTTTGAGTTATATATATATATATATATATATATATATATATATATATATATATATATATATATATATATAGATTATATAGAATTATATATGATGTATAAGGAGTGGTCGCATGTTTGAAGTATTTACTAGTTTTTCGTTGTTTGTACATAACTCGTGTGTAATAGTAACGGATCTTTATGGTCATTGCAAGGATTTATATCCGTTTTCAAAAACACTCAGTTTTCTAATCCTAACATGTTTCTCTAATAACATGCAATATTTTTACAAGTTGCTGGTTTTTACTACACAGTTCCCTACTTGTAACAAAACTTTGCTTGTTTTCTATTTTACATCTGTGGTCTTCAGTCGGTCATTTTTGCAGTAACCGGTGTCTAACAAGGTAGGTTGAATTGGATAATGTTACCACAATATAAAGCACTTTCCATGTTTTCATTTTGCTTATTCTTTGGCTCCTATAGTTTTTTTCACTAATGACAAAAACAGTCTTTGTTAGTTCGTTGCTCTGAAACACTGTAGGTCTCATTCAAGCTGTGACACATTTAAGTTTTCCCTAGCTCGACTCCCGTTCTTCACTCATTGTTTTGATTTCTTGTGTTTACAGTCTTACTGGTTCTCGCGCGGTTGTGACTGATTTGATGTGTTTGATTAAATATGTTAGAATTCTTGTTGTGATAGATCATGCCGAAATGGAGTGATAATAGATTTTCAAGCATTTATTATGATTTTTAGTACTGCGGAGAGCGTAGAACATTTCGACAAGCAGTATTTGCACACCTATAGAATGTCATAACATTTTTATGCGTTTATATGAGTATTTTATACTATAGATTCGGTTGGCTATGTAGCGTACTGATTGTGGTGCGGTTGAAGATAAAATGGTGTATGACTCATTCGAATATAAATACGCACACAAGACAAACTGCTTCAGATCGTGCGAAGAGGCTTTTTTCAACTGGAGAGCCAATCGATCTGAAATTGTTCATGTGATCTGTCAAGTTCAAGGGGTAGCTAGACCCTTGCCTGAAGTGTAGCTGTTACGGTGTATGGAACATAGTGATTACATATTTTTATTACTAAGGATACATTACTAAACAATAGAGGTGGAGGGAAGGAAATGGTGAGTGTGAGTGTCCCTGATGGTCTCCAGTCCTCTCTTATATGCAGGTCCGCCTTGCAACAACAACAGCGGTTAAAGCGGGGTAAGACATTGCATATTGCATAACAACAAGTGATGTTACTCAATATTACCTATTGTTATGCAATCTGATGAAATGATCTCATACAACTCCGCTCCTACAGAAAACTAGTCCTCGAGCGTCTTAACAGACTGGTTGAGGTACTGATGGTGGCTGTCGTTGAGCTTGTCGTTCAGCTAACGATTTGAACATAGTGGAGGTGGGATTAAGTGAGCTGTTGGCGCAGCTACGACCTTTTCCTCCTCCGGGTGGTTTAGAAAGCTCGTCCTCGAGCGGAGAAAATGATGGTTGGTTAAAGATTGATGATGGGCAGTATGAGGACTGTCGATGTTTCAAAGGCAGTGGCTCGGCGAATCTTAATCTGGTCAAGTTTTCGCTTACCTGAAGTTATTCAACACGCTGATCCCGAAAATCCACTTTTGAGCGCCTGAAAACGGCAAAAACGAGCGTTTTTCAATGCACTTCCCGTTGGAAATGGACGAGTGGAGCAAGGATGAAGCTGAATCGTCGCGGGACCCAATGCTTATAGTACTGCGGCGGGCAGCCTCCAATGGTGAGAAGGAAATTGCCAACTCGTCCGGACCGTGTAAGATTTGGCCTGGGCGTGTAAGTTTGAGAGCAATTCTCTCGGCAGGGCATGCTGTGTAACCGGGATGCCACTGTTTTCATACTTGGGCTTAAGGAACTTACCGCATTGAAATCCTGATTTGCTGAGTTTTGCCGATCCATTGCCTTTAAGTTCGAGAGGATGGGATGGTGTGTATGTAGGGGGAAGGGTGTCGTTTAAGTATTGGGGTGAGATTGAAAATTATTGTGCAATTATATGTTGACATTAGAATTAGGCTCAGCACTGTAATGTAAAAGTACAGCGATAATGTTGTAGCCAATGGGTAGGTTTGCTTGTTACAATAAAGGAAAATAAATTGCAAAAATTGGTCAATAGACTGTGTATAACATAATATTACAAGGGGAGTTATGCTACATTTGATTATGAAGGGGCTAGTTTACACTGGTACAATTCACTAGTGTAACACTAGGACGAAATTTTGTATGTTATGGTTAGTGGTGAGTGTGGCAGTTTGTTAAAGCTGCTTAATAGGAAAGAAATTTGTTTCACTTCCTGGAGTCATCGGCTCAAAGAAGTTTCTAATTTTAAGCGACAATGCGCGGAAAAGTAAAATGAATTTCAAACATACCAACTGTTCAAGAGAAGTAATGCTCTCCACAATTACACTTCTCCAGAATCTGTACTGTCGTTTTCGATATCCTGACTGTGGAGTTCTAAACTTGTAGGACGGTTAAGAGGTTGCTCATCATCTTCTGACGTTTATTATGTGAGGTGATGGAGTGGTTGAGGTTGGTTCGGTAACATTAACCGGTGAAGAGCGGACAATAGGTTTTAAGTCTATTTGTACAGTTTGAGTGGATCTGGGGCCTATTAAATTTTGAATGGTAACATTGGGACGACTAATCCCTGTCACTAGAAAGGGGCCTTTCCATGGAATGGTAAATTTGGGGCGTATTCTTTCTTCGTGTAAGAGTACGAGGTCTCCAACAAAAATTTCTTTTGAGAAAACCTTATGCTGAAAACCATACCCTGCTTTGTAAATCAACCGCAAGCGCCACATTTATGCGAATAATTTACGTTTTTCACGTTCAGCGCTACCAACAGTAGCGATGAATTTTCTCCGACGCCGAGCCACATGAGGCAGCAGGCGAAAATATTTTGCCTTGCCACCACTTCCATTACACCATGAGCGCCGACCAACAAACCCCAAAATAATCGGGCAACTGCTTTGCCACTCGTTAGAACACCATTACTCAAGCTCCGAACATATGGTCGTAAATATCAAAATATCTGGATGAACACTCACAAATAATGACCAGACTCCTCCAGACAAATTATTAGCTATGCACATTTCTTCCCAAACTCTACACAACCAACAATCAAATTCTATAAGAACAAATTGCCTGCTTCGCTTAAAAAATCAAAACAATACGCCTTCACAAAATTCCTTTATTGAACAATACATTCACCCATCTACAACTAATTATAAAGTATTGCCAAACATTGATTACTCTAATACATATCAAAGCCGGCCACGTTTCTCACTAAGTCGGGCAGTTAGGCCATTATCGGCCACGTTAACTAGCAATAGTGAGTTGGTGGCACCTCTTGCAAGCGTTTCCACGAAGGCTTTGTCCAGCGCCAATTTTCCACCATTTTTCGTAATTACCAAATTGCCGAAATGTAGAATTATGAAAATCCTGTCCGCCTTCCAATTTGCTCCATTACACATATTGAACTGCTCACTATGAGTATTATGTATAACACCTATAATAAAATAAATTACCATGACTAATGAAGAGAATTTTTTTCTCAAACTTACAGAAGAGCGTAACATGTTCACCATCATTATTTAAAATCATGATGGCAACATGAACCGTGTTGTTCGATTAAATTTTCAACCAGGTCTCTTGCACCTCTTCCCTAATCAAAGAAGATAATACGATCTCTTCCCCATAGATCGCCTCCTCCAGTAGTGTTTGAGGTTGACGTACAAGCTCTTCGTTGTACAAGAATGGACGCCTAACGTTATGCAGATCCTCGTTCAGTTCGAGAACCTCCTGGAAAACAAACGCTTATATACAGCATCACACTTCTTCAACATTACCTTATTCAAATTCAGTTCCTCCTACGTTTCACAATTCTGGCCTGTTCAGCGGCCTCCGTCTCACGCATATTTTTGGCAACTAATATACTAAAGTGCACTTGGCACTCCTCGTAACTTTTCTGAAGTTCGGCACACTTTAAACACGGTGGTGGGCGCCCCGCACTCAGTTCCTCAATCTCACGCCTAGCGATTTCCAAATCGGCTGTCGCTCTGGCTAAGTCAGCCTCTAGCTTTGCGACACAAGACTAAAAAAATTTGAAAAAATAAGTTCCATTTCATAATTCATTAGATCATAACTCACTATCCAATCCTTCTTTACAACAGGTAGCCTTGGTGACGAGGCACGACTGTTGTCGGAATTATCCTGTGCAGGAGCGCATGCCTCCTCCCAGGAATCAGGAGTGCAAGTACCTCTCGAGTTTACGGGAGTACCGGCTCTTCTGGGCACACTGGGTGCGGGCGAAGGCGAAATACAAATTCGTCCAAAAGGCATTGCTTATCTCAAAAAAAAATCTGATTTTATCCGCAAAACAACTTTTTTGAGCTAGTTTAGCTGGTAAAGAAGAAGAAGAAAAAAATTGTGGTCAACAACAAATAGACTTGACGTGCGTGTAAATTTGCTAAGAAATTACTTCTCTAGAAAAAATATCGGAATATTGCTGTTACGATTTGGGTTCTTTCTACAATATGTAAATAGTTTATTATAAAGGTACTCGTCCGCAGGACTTTTTTCAATTTTTTTATTGGCAGTCTTAGGATTGCGGTTTACTATAATACAGGGTGTCCCAAAAGTATGTATGCACTGTTTGATCTTCATTATCTCTCTTCCCAAGAAGTCTTTCGCCTTGCTTTAGACACCATTTTGTAGAGCTGGCTTCAACTTAGATTTTGGTATAGAACGGATCACCAATCTTTTTCTTTACTGTAGGTTTTACGGTAGAAACTTCAAAGAGGGTTTTGAGCCATGAAAGGCCATATTTCGCCTCAGAGAAGAAACAAAACAGCCTGAAAACTTTTACACTAGGCTAATTAGAGCTGCTGATCCTAACTGTAAAGTTCCCAACTTATTATGATGCTTCATTGAAGAGTTCTGCAAGGTAAGAGGCAGCGGCTTTTTTCAATGTTTCTGAAAAGTGCGGTTACACCGTTCAGAAAGCTTCGCAATCTTATGAATAGTTGAGTACTGAACTCAGCGTCCATAAAAACCCTATTACACAAGTTTCCAATTTTTTTGCAAAATTTTGAAATGGCAGCTTTTTACACATTGACACCATATGTTTCAAGTTCCTACCGTAATCCTACAGTAATGAAGAGCGGTCGGTGATTCTCTTGATACTTTAACTCCGGTGATTCTCTCCATACTTTTACTCTAAGTTGAAGCCAGCTCTACAAAATGGTACCTAAAGCAAGGTGAAAGACTTCTTGGGAAGAGAGATATTAACGATCAAACAGTGCATACATACTTTTAGGACACCCTGTATATAAAATTATTAGTAAAACTATAATTGAATATGTAGAGGAACTTACGCATTTCGTTCGAACTTCCTTAGTGATCAGATAAGGAAGGGGAAGAAGACATAGGGCGAAGGGATATAGGAGGAGGGTGGGGGAGGTGGTAAGATTTGTTTAATAAAAAAACGAAAAAGTGGGTCCGTTCAAATTTAAAAAATTATTCTAAAGAAGGAATATTAGAGAAAAATCTCTTCGGGACCTCCATGTCAAGTTCAAGGGGTAGCTATAAGGATACATTACTAAACAATAGAGGTGGAGGGAAGGGGATGGTGAGTGTGAGTGTCCCTAATGATCTCCAGTCCTCTCATATGCAGGTCCGCCTTACAACAGCAACAGCGGTTAGGGCGGGGTAAGACATTGCATAATAACAAGTGATGTTACTCAATATTACCCAATGTTATGCAATCTGATGAAATGATCTCATGACTGATCTTGTGGTAAGGGATCAATCACATGAGAGCAGAGTATAGAAGCTAGCCGTGACCGAATGCGCATTTCTTAGTGAAGCGCGCGAGCGTGGCTGTTGGCCCATCATCACTGAGCACATGGAGTATGATGCTCATACCATCCAAAATTGGTTGTATTTGAAAAAATTCAGCTTGAATAACTGAGAATGATGGTACCGCCCTTCGTGGTAAGATTCTATAAAATATAACAAGCATATGGAGCTCTGATCTCTTTGGAAGCGGAAGTAGTCCAAAAAAGAGAGTATGGGAAGAGTTACAGCGAGTAAGTCATAATTAAGAACAAAGCCCCCCCCCCTTCGCGTTGTTATCTGGCGTTTTCGTGATAAGACTAATCAAAGAACGGCATGGAAGTGGAGGGCATAGTAGGATACCGCTCGCCTCTGTTTAAAACAAAATCCTGCATTCCCCGGAGTTCGCCGAACTTCGAGTCGCAGCTACCCTATTTCAGAGTGGACAAATTCTAAATTCAAAAGCACCACTCATCTTAGCTCAACGAGTTGCATTTTCTGATATATAGGATTGCCTGTTTGGGCACCTTATTTAGTCAAATTTCACGGATCTTCTTAGCTTTTCGCTCGGTTGGTTACTCAGAGCGCCTATTCACTGCACAAAAAGTAATCTATTCAAAAAGCTGTAAGGATCCGTGAAACTTGACCGACTAAATACTCAAACAGACACTTTCATGTATAAGAAGATGCATCTCGTGGAGCTAAGTTCTGCGAAGCAATGGCGATGCGACTCGAGTTCGGGACTTCGGGAGAATGCATTGATTTTTTTCAGAAATTACAAGCGGTAATGTAGTCGATACAGCTCACACTTCATTAAGGCACACTTTAATTATTATCTACGCATTTTCCCTGAGGAAGAAAGTTCGAAAAATCAATTCCAATGAGAGTTCTGTCTCATGAATATCAAGATATTCGAGTATTCAAAATTATCCCCTCCTTACAAAAACATCCAGATAGAGGTACTTTTGTGTGTGCTCCTCATTTGTGATTCAGTAGTGAATAAGAATGTGAGACACATGACTTTTATAGTGTTCGGAAAATGATAGCGTTCCCAACCAGAATCTCTTTTGCAATAGATATCTGAGCTTTTTCTGCGTTTGACCTTCTTCAATCCATTTGCATTGTGGGCTCAGGAAAGCAAATGTTTATCCCCGGAGACAAGCCTCCCACCTTAGTTCTTCATCAGAGACACCTCCCACTTATATTTAGCTCCTTCATCTTGATTGGAAACTTCTTGGTCATTTTATATGGTCATTGCTCCATATATAGCAAAGTCATGCCAATATTGGCTGTAATTGTCTGCAAAGGCGTCATCACTTAAATTTCGTGGTCTCACCAAAGATCGCTTCTAATGGCTAAATCGTCTCAAGGTTTCCGTAGAATGACGTCTCGCAACGTATAGTTGAACTTTTGAATGTTCAAAGCATCATGTTGTAATGTCAGATTTGATGGCACAAAGGAAGGAAGGGGATCCTGCTCCTAATATTTGAGAAGAAAATTTGGAAACAAGAAAGCTTTTCGGAAAATTTTTACGAGAAAAAGGTCAGCTGCGATTTCTCATTGAGAACAGTTACCGCTCTTCCTTCTTTTCAGTCCTCAAAAAATCATGGATGCAAAATCTAGACAATCGTTTAAATTGTGCTCGATACAAGGTTGATTTATTGCGGAAGAACGATCAGGTGTTTTCTACGGTTTTTTAGCAGGTCTTCATGTTCTCTGTGCCCAAAGTTTTGATAGAATCGTTGCCTTTGGAAGCCAGGATATTTCGACTAGGCTGAACTCGATAATTTCCGAATTTTTTTCTTTGAGTGCGAAGCAAGATTCGTGTGAAAAAGGCGAATTTCATGCAAGAAAAAGTGCTCAAATAAGTTCCTGTGTAAACAAATATGGTTTTTATGGTTTTTCTAAAAATGAGCTTAAAGTTTGTTCTATGCTGGATGACCCAATGTTACGCAAAGATTTTTATTACGGATGTTTTGGAGTTAAATCGAGAGTCTAAAATGCCGTTGTTGAGAGCTGATTGTTGAACAATCTCAAAGATTCTTTTGGACAAAAAGTACTATGGCAAGTTTTGCTCTAAGGGCCAAACTATGATCTCTTCTTCTCAAGAAAATTATCTAGTTTGGTTCTAGCAACTTTCGTGCCCTAACTTCGTATTCATGCACAGTCTTTTTAAAATTGGCATTCTCAAAAATTTTGTGCGAATAGCTCGCATTTCAAAGTGCGAATATTGCATGGTATGCATAATTTATGTATGCTTGCTGTATTTGAGGTAATTTTGTCCACGTGATGCCTTTTCATCAAATATCAAATTGAAAAACTTGAAGCCATGGTAATTCCTGCACCAATTGGCATAAGAAAGCCCCTTCTGCTCCGAAAAAGTACCGATGCTTTTAAATCTTATGCTTCAAATAATGTTCAGTGAAGACGATCTGCTCAGAGCGCATCTTCTAAAGAGCTATATTCGTGTTGTATTGTGTCGAAGAGAAACCAGACACCATTTGAAAATGTGAATATTTTCGTTTCTCTGGTGCATTTGGAAATTTGTAAGACAAGATCTGTTTTTGCTTCATGTGAATTGTCAGAAATCGACATTAAATTGGGACACAAAAAGGGAGAGGGTGTGCCGATTAGCATTAAACTCTTCCCACATTTCAATATAATCTTAAACTTGATGAATGTTCTCTGTTTCGAAGAATAAAAAGATTTTAACGGTAACCTCTTGCATTTCTTCGTAAATCCTCTGGCATAATCATTGTGCCTGATATGATGGCTACTATTCCTTTTAGACTTTTGCTATGGATTACAAAAATAAGCGAGTTACAGTCGAGTAGATTTCCTGCTTAACACGTTTCGGACCGCGAAATCGCGCGCGGCGAAAAAGAGTGTACTTTCAGCCGTTAACCTACAAAGGGACCTTATTTCGCAGCCTGTGGGCCACATTTGTAATCAGCATGTCAGGTAAGCTCCATACCCAAAGTTCTGAGTGAATTTGAAGTGTTTGAATTTTGTCGCTTGAGAGGGACTTTTGTGTTTTCTTGGGAGATAGGAGTAAGAATTTAGTTCCAAACAGTATTCAAAAGTATCTATGTTGTACACGGTACACCTCATTACCGAAACTACGGTTTTTCTCTTCGAAATCGAAGCAAAGAGAAGTTGCGACGTCGCACGCGTCGTTCGCGTTGCCGCACTTCGTAGCAAATGTTGTTCGATTTGTCCTCATATCTCCTAAACAATTACGAGCGGCACAGCTCTACAGAGTCATGTGGAATGTAGAAGCTTAGACCTTTGACCTAACAACTTTGGACTAAAAGGAAGCCTCCTGTAAACGCCAGAGAGATCCTTCAAAGCAGCGTGCTGCACCATGTGCAGCACCGGTCCGAAACGTGTTAATATAGTGTCCCTGCAGACGCGACAACGCTGAGGCGTCAATAAATGCCTTGCGAGTCCCGAACTAGTGTTTTCCATTGTTTTCTTTGCTTATTTCATGCTTTTTAGTTGTAAAG